GCTGATTCCGAGTATCCTCTCGTGTCCCACGACCCCCGCGGAGAGCCGGTCTCCCTGCAGGTATATGGATATTATCCTACCACAGACAGCGTTGTACTTTTGATGATGAACGCAACGCCATTCCTCTTCAGTTTGTCATTCCTGACATAGTAAACCATGGGACTGACAGATTTAAAATGGCCAATACCAGTCCATTTCACTTTTATGTGCTCTACTGCAGTTTTTACAATTTCCAATATTCCTAGATTTATATTTCATACATTCTACGTTCCAATTATGAATGGCTATTTCCAGCTGTTTCTCCTTATTTTGAGTTAGTCCCATCAGCAAATGAAGGTCCTGAGGACTTGATTCCATTCACGTCATCACAGTCGACTGTACTCTGAGGAGGCAGCTCCTCCCCAGCTGTAGTCTGAGTGCTTTCCAGCCTGTTGTTGTTGTTGTCAGGTGCCATCTAGTTGGAACCGACTCATAGCGACCCCATGCACAGCAGAACGAAACAATGGCCGATCCTGGGCCAACCTCACTACCGCTGCCACACTTGAGTCCATCAATGATGCCACCTGGCCAATCCATCTCGTTAGGGGTCTTCCTCTTTTTCTCTGACCCTCCACCCTACCCAGCATGACATCCTTCTCCAACCTGAGGGGCTCATTTTCCAGCACTGTATCTGACAATACTCTGGTGCTCTTCATCATGTTTCAATATTCAATATTCTGGTGCTACTCATAAGGTTTCCAATGACTAAATATTCCAAAGTAGTCCATTTCTCCTTCCTAGTTTGTCTTCATCTGGAAACTCAGCTGAAACCTATCTGCCATGGGTTACCCTGTTGTTACTGTTGTTAAGTGATATCTTCGACCTACAGTGACCCTATATAGGATTCCTGAGGAGCAGCTGGTGAGCTTGAACAGCCGACCTCGTGGTTTATACCAACTTTGCAGTCCAGTGCATTAACCCACAGCGTCACACCAGGTGACCCTGCTGGTATTTAAACTTCTGACATAGCTCCCAGAAGCACAGCAACACACAAGCCACCCCAGTACGACACACTGAGCAGTAAGTGTACCTGCGGAGCTCCTTAAGGCACTGATGCTCAGACAACCACACCTGGAGTCGCCAACTCACTGTGTCCCTGTAAGGCAGAGTAGGGCTGCCCCAGAGAAGTTCAGAACCAGAGTTCCATGGTTCTGAACTTCACCAAACAGAAAACACTTTAACAGTTCAAACCCACTAGTCGCTTTGAGGAGAAAAGATCTTGTGATGTGCTTCTATAATCAAGACTGCCCTGGGAAGCCTGCCGGGCACTTGCTCTCTGCTCTATAGGTTGCAGTGAGTTGGCATCGGCTAGAAGTCAGCTTGGCACCACACTCCCTTTAGTCATGTTGTACTCAGACGTGAAGGTAAGGCGAGCGGGCAGAGTGGAAAGAAAGCAGGTCACACCTGAGGCTGACCAAGTGTGAGGTGGGCGACTCTGAGCTTAGAATGAGGGGCAGGACCGACGCAGATCTCCGCTAACAGCGATGGGAGTGAAAATACCACGGATTGAACAGAAACCTGAAAGCAGGCTCTCTCCTCACCTGTCCAGGTTCCTTCTAGGAAGGAGGCAGAGAAGGCACACAGATCCTGAGGATGAGTTCTGAAGACCACAAACACCTTAGGGAAGACCTCCTTCCTCTGGTCATGTCGACTGACCTTTAGGTTCACAGCCTAAGGCTCACCCCACAGCATCACGGGGGTGGGGTGGGGTGGGGATCTGGTTTCTTCATCCCAAGCCTTGTGTTCAAACCCTAACTTCAGTGTGCAAGTCTGCAAGAAAGCTGTACCATGTTTATGACTCAAGGTCTCAAATGTGTGGAGAAACCACGCAGCTTCTTATCAAGACTTTGCCTTCTATGAGACCCTCATATAAAGGGCTCCGGGGAATCACAGAAAGGGAAAGACAGAAGGAAGAGCTGAGTCCTGACTGATTACCCTCGCAGACGTTACTTTGTAACCCAGGTGCCCTGTCCCCAGGAATAACTTTCCAGATGCCTGTGGCTGTCACAGGACACAGGGTAACAGGTGCCTGTGCATACCCAGAGATAGCCTGTGTTTACTCTCCAGCGGCATGAAAACAGAGCAGCGCCTCACTATCTCTAGGAAATGACCCCAAATCATGGACTCAGTGTGACCCACCCTGGCAAGAATGGAAACCACAGGTGGGGTAAGCAAGGGGTAGGGGCGGGGCATGATTGTCCAAGGCAGAAGGCCCCACCTCAGGGGTCTCCAGGAGAGCTCATTCCATACTGACTGTGTGGTCGGGTGCCACTCCTAGTGACCCCATGTGACAGAGTGGGATTACCCTATGGGATTGCCTAGCCTGTAATCAAGGAGCTCTGGTAGCGTAGTGGTTATGAGTCGGGCTGCCAACCTCAAGGTCAGCAGTTTGAAACTACCAGCAGTTCTGTGAGAGAAAGATGATGTGTTCTGCTCCCGTAAAGATTTACAGCCTGGGAAACCCTGTGCAGGGTCACTGTGAATTGGAACCAACTCCATGGTACTTAACAACAACAACAATTAAGCTCACCAGCCGCTTCTTGGAAACCCTATACAGGGTCACTAAGAATGTGAACTGACTTGACGGCACTTAACAACAATCTTTATCAGGGAAGGCCTGGTATGGCACTGGCGGTTAATGCACTGGACTCAAGCTCAGCACCCGGTTTTTGGAAACCCTATACAGGGTCGCTATGGGTCAGAACCCACTCAATGGCACTTAACAACAACAACTATCTTTACCAGAGGAGGCCTGATGGCATGGGGATTGAGCTCCTCACTGGGTTTGAACCCAACGGCCACTCAGTGAGAGAAAGAGGTCTGCGTCCATGAAGGCCTAGTTTTGGAAACCCTATGGGCAGTTCCATTCTGCCCTACACCGTGGCTAAGAGTCAGGATCGACTAGATGGCAATGGATTAATGTAGTTCTAAGACGACTTGGTGGCGCAGTGGTTGAGAGTTCAACTGCCAACTAAAAGGTCAGAGGGGGGGAAAAGACGAGGCAGCCTGCTTTCCTAAAAATGTAGTCATATAAACCTTTATAGGCTTGCTGAGTCAGAATGGACTCCACGGCAGTAGGTTTGGGGTTTGGGGAATCTTTACAAGAGAGCAGATCGCCAGGCATTTCTTCCGCGCGGTGGGTTCTAACCTGTCGTCGCTCTGTAACTACAACCACCCGCCTCCTGGTTACCATCTCCGCAGGGAGTCGGGACGTTTCCAGGGCGCGCCGCTGTGACCCAACGTGGGCGCCGCGCTCACGCACCTTCGCGCGCCTTCACCAGCAGAGTGTTGGCCACAATGTTATCGATCTCCAGGTCCCGCCGAGGCTTCTGAGGCCGCCGCCGAGGTGGAGCGGTCGGGAGAGGAGCCGGGGCCGCTTCCGCGCATTGCTCGCAGGTAGCCGCCCGCGCGTCGGATCCCCGCCGCCGCCGCCGCCGCCGCTGCGGGAGCCTCTGCCTTCGCCACCACCGCCGCGGCCACCACCTCCACCGCTGCCACCATGGGCGACGCCGCCACCACGGGCGACGCCGCCGCAGCCGCCGGGGTCGGCCCGGGGAGGCTTTGACTCCGGGCTCCGCGGGGGTGCGGCCGGGGCGAGGGGAGCGGGCGGCAGGGTCGCTGCGGAGCACTGCTGTCACTGCCGCCCCGCTCGGGCTCCTCTCGGCCCCATCGTCCTCGTCCCCGGTGGTCAACTCTTTATTCAGGGCCCGGCCTTCGGGCCGCCTAGCGTCTCCGCCGAGCCCCGCCCCAGGAACGGGCTCACCGGCAGGGCCACCGCCACCAGCGGCGACGGCGGCGGCAGCCGCCGGCTGGCCAAGTAACGGCTTCCCAGCAGAGGGAGCCCGAGCGCCCGGATCGCCGCGGCGCCTCAGGTGGTGCGGCGCCTCGCGGGAGCACTACAACTCCCAGAAGGCAGCGCGCCGGCGGGAAGTGCAAGCCGGGAAAGCGAAGTCGGCTGGGAGTTGAAGTCACGCCGAACTAATAGACCAAAGGGCTCTGTGGGAGGTGTTGGCGTGTTACTGGATGTGTCCGATTCTCGCGATATCAGCGGGCCGGCGTAGTTGTAGCGAGACGAGGCCGAGAGGAGGTTCCCGATCACCTGCACGTGTTTTGTCAGGTATCCGCGCTCCAACCGGGCCTGGGGTCCCCCTAGCCCCGCCAGACGTCACTTCTCACGGTCGGCTTCGTCTTGCTCCGAGCCTGAGACCTTTGAAGACTTGAGCGCCCAGAGGTGCTTGTACCATGGGGAAGGCCAAGCCTGCTAGAGCAGGACGGAAGCCCCCCGGGTCCCAGGCCGGAGCGCGGGGAGTCAAGGCAAAGCCCAACCCCAACCCATTCGAAGTGAAAGTCAACCGGCAGAAGTTCCAGGTCCTGGGCAGGAAGACGCGCCACGATGTGGGGCTACCTGGCGTGTCCCGCGCGCGGGCCATCAAGAAGGTGAGCCGAGCAGCCGCGCCGCCGGGGTCTCTCCCTCGACTGACACCTCCCGAGACCCTCCTCCTGGCCGAGTCCGGGATCCCCCGGAGACTTCCCTTCCTAGCCTTCATTCCCCACCGGCCAAGGTCCCTGGAAACCCGACCCCTCCGGAGATCCTCCTCCCCGCCGGGCCCACACTGCTACTAGACCCTGGTTCCTGGAGGCAGGGATGGCGCTGTCCCGGTTATGGTGTTCCTATGGCCTGACCACCTGTGTGGTTCTCAGAGGACACACTGACCACTGTGGTTGTCAATCAGGCAGACACACGCGACCTCAGAGCCCTGTGCCATTTTTGTGACCTTAGGGTTTTCAGTGACTGACTCACAGAAGTAGATCGCCAGGCCTTTCTTCCTAGTCTGACTCCTGAAATCTGCTCAGCATCACACGGAAGGAAACCTCCACTGACAGGTGGTGGTGGCTGCACATCAGATACCCTGGTTAGGAATTGAACCGGGTTTATCTCAGATGGGAAGCAAACAGCCTACCACAGAGCCATCACAACCTCAGACTCCTGGCCCCTGTGGCCCCCTCTTCCACCTGCCCCTCTACAGCCAGGGCAGGTTCCCCTTATTCTGAACCCCACCAAGCACATGCCTGCTTCTGGAGCTTGTAGTACCCAGGCTGCCCAGTTTGGTTCACTAGGCCACATAGCAGCTACTGTCAGGGCCGGGCAAGGTGCTACCTCTCTGTGCCTCAGTTTCTCCTCAGTAAGACAGCTAATGATGGTCCCAGGACTCTTGAGGGGATTCCATGTGTCCATTGCAATGGCCAGGGCAGTGGGTCCTGACTCATAGAGGAGCGGCTGGTGGGTTTGTGCTTGACAATCCAGTGCTTATCCTATAGCCCCACACAGGGACTGTGTGTAGTGCCTGGCATAGCTGGGCATTATTTATCACTGATTATTTTTGTATATTAAGTCTCTGTGCTGTCATCTTTTCTTTCTTTTTTTCTTTCTTCTTTCTCTTTCAACTGTTGTGATTTCAGTGAAAGTTTGCAAAGCAAATTAGCTTCCCTTGCAGCAGTTTATACACGTGTTGTTTGATGTCCCTGGCTACATTCCCTACGGTGTGTGTTCAGCTTTCCTGTGCCTCCTCTCCTCATCGTCCCTGACTGCTGAGGGGGCCACGCTGTACTTGGTTCTCTGTCACCTCCTAGGCCTGTGGATTGTGAGGCAGAATGGTGATCCGCAGGGTGAGTTTGGTTCCAGGCCTGAAGGGTGCCGAAGGGGTCCAATTTCAGGGTTCCTGCCAGTCTCTGTGACGAGTGAGCCCACCATGGTTAGGATGTTGAGTTTTCTTCCGTGTTTTCCGCCCACTCTGTCCAGGGCTCTCGCTTGTGATCCCAGTGAGAATGCTTGGTGATGGTAACCAGGCACCCTCACATTCTCCTCCTCTCAGGGCTGTGGAGGCGGAGGTGCCTTTGGACTCATTTTCCTGCATCTTCAGTTCTCTTCGCTCTTTTTTGCTTTGGCCATGGAGAGATCTCTGTGCTTTTGCATGGGCTGGAATTATCTAGGCAACTTCGGTCCTTCCTCCAAGCTCGCGCACATTGTACTTGTGTGTCTATCTGTGTGGCTCTGACGGTAGCTGCTACTCTGAGGGAGACTCATTTATTTGTAACTCGTATGTAAGTGGCAGGACTGGACTTGAGTTGGGGTCTGAGTGTCTGGTCTCTGGAAGGTTCTGGGGAGACAGGTGACTAAGGCCTGGTCTCATCTCTATTTTGACGTACAGTGTGCCATCCAGCTGATTGTTAATTGAATCCAGCCCCTCCGTTTCTTCTTGGAGCTGACAGTGTGTGAGGGATGTGTCCGAACGGAAGATGTTCTGTCACTGCATGACTGGATGGGGACGAGCAGCCACTGCTTGCTTTTGTCTGGAAGCAACCCTGACCTTCTCTCCCATGGATGCTGTTGCCCCTTCCTGTCTCCTTCTTTCCACCTTGGATGGCCACGCTGGTTTCTGAGTCTGTCATCATGTGAGCTTTAGCTGACCTCCAGCCATGGGGGGGTACACATCACATTCAGGTCTGTCCCTTGAGTTGGGTCTAGAGCATGAAACCAGGCAGCAAGGAAAAAGGCCAGTCACCCACAACACTTGGTTGCTGGTGCCATTGGATGCATCCCAGCTCATCACGACCCCACATTTGCAGAGCAGAACTGCTCCCTAGGGGGTTTCAGGCTGTGAGCTTTTGTAAGGTGCTTCCGATGCACTTGGGAGGTGGTGGCGGCACAGTGACCTCTGCCAGCCTCACATGGTTGTTAAACAGCAGGTGTCCCAACTGTGTAAGCGCTTACACAGAGTTCGCCCACCAGAGGAATGCCTGGAGAGTTTGGGAATTAAAGGTTACCTCTTGGGGCTTCACCAGGGCTTTCGAATAACAATGCCTTGTTTGCAGTGAGCTTGTGAAACCTTTGAGTTGGACCATCACAGGGCCTTCACTGTTTGAGGACTTTACCAAGGAGCTCTAGTAGCGTAGCGTAGTGGTTATGAATCGGGCTGCTAACCTCAGGGTCAGCAGTTCAAAACTACCAGCTGTTCTGCGGAAGAAAGAGTATGCTTTCTGCTCCCGTAAAGATTTACAGCCTCAGCCTCATGAGTTGGAACCGACTCCGCGGCACATCACCACCATGGTACCTGCTCCTTTTGCCTTTAGGTGTTACTTCAGATCACATGAGGTGACAGGCCTCAGTGCGCTGAAGGCTGTCAGCAGTGGGTGGCAGAGCCACGCCTCAAGGACCGCCAGCTTTGAGCAATGGCAAAATGGTTGCCTCCCTGCAGGGACACGTCACGCTATTTAATACTCACAAAGTGTTCCGAACCCACAACTGCTCCATGGGAGAGAAGACTGGCAGTCAGCTCCCATCCGGATTACGGCCTCGGAAGCCCTAGAGAGCCGTTCTGCTCTGTCCCAGGGTCACTCGACAGCTCTCAACAGCGTTGGTTATGAGGAGTCCCTGGGAGCTGCAAACCAAAAGGTTGGACATTAACGTTCACCGCCAGGCACCTCCAAAACAAGACCTGGCCGCCTGCTTCCAAACCATCCTCCTCTGAAACCCTGGGGTGCGCGTTTCTACGCTATAACACTCGAGGTTGCGATGACTTACTTGACTCAAAGGCGGGTGTCTTTTTAGTTGTTAATGTCTGTGTTTAAAATGTTGGTCTCTATTTATGGTCAAAAAAGAGCTCTGGTAGCGTAGTGGGTATGAATTGGGCTGGGAACCTCAAGGTCAGCACTACGAAACTACCAGCTGTTCCGCGGGAGAAAGATGAAGCTTGCTGCTCCCGTAAAGATTTACAGCCTTGGAAACCCTGTGCAGGATTGCTATGGGTCAGAACCGACTCCACAGCACCTACCAACAATGACAGCATTGATGGTCAAAAGAGTAAACCCTAAACCGTGAGCTGAAAAGAAAGATTAAGAACCCTGCTTTCTGTCGGTGGTCTTGCTCTCCAGGGGGCAGGGACCTCAACTCAGTCCACTCTTGCAGCTGTGTCAGTGCCTGGCTCCAGGAAGCGTGGCACCACCTGGTTATAGTTACGCGGGCACAGCTGGAGAGCCGCCGTCGCCGTCATACCCGGCGCACCTTTGGGCGCTGGCCCTAGCATTTGACGCTAAGAGGGAACTCCATTTCCCACTTACTGCTTGAGCCGTTGGCGCTGAGTCTGAACTGTGTTCTCTTTGAGATCCTGTCAGCAGCGAGGGCTGCAAAAATGGTGAGCTCACCACGACTAGCTCTGGCTTTGGCCAATCTGTGTGCTGGTGCCCCCGTTAGTGGAAATCATAGGGCACGTCTGTGAGGTTGACCATGATTTGATTGTCAGCGCCTTGACCCTGGTGGTACTGTATCCCTGGATGCTGAATTCAGGCTTGGCAGTTTGCCCCCAGCAGCTGCTCCATGGGAGAAAGGTGAGGCTCTGTGTTCCCATAAAAATGCACAGCCTCAGAAACCCGGTACAGAGTCACTATGAGTGGTAATTGGCTAATGTCAGTGGGTTCGACTTTACTAAAGGAGCCTGGTGGTGCCGGGGCTGTTCATGGAAAGGTCGGCCGTTTAAACTCCCCACCTGTCATCGTGGGAGAAAGATGAGGCAGCCTTGGAACACCTTTAGGGCAGTGGGAATTGATTGAAGGGAATTCATTCACCTGGGGACAGGCTTGGCTAGTGTGACCTTGTAGAGTGCCCTCTCCTGGAAGTGGAAGGAAGAGCTCTTGAGAGTGTGTCATGCTCTCTCTCTCTCTCAGCGTACCCAGACTTTACTGAAGGAATACAAGGAAAGGGAGAAGTCCAACGTGTTCAAAGATCGGCGCTTCGGGGAATACAATCGCAACATGAGCCCGGAGGAAAAGATGATGAAGAGGTTTGCACTGGAACAACAGGTATGGAAACGGCCACCCACACAGGTTGTGCGTTGGTAGCTCCATGGCTCTCCCCTGTCTGCAGGAGGTCTGGCTGGGTCAGAGGCTTATCGTTAGCTGGGTACCTCCCCACCTGACATAGAGCGCCTGTGCAGACTGCCCCATCAGCTCTGCCGGGTGGACAGTAGGCCGCGTTCCTGCTGCGTGCGGCTCAGTCTGGCCCACGGAGCAGTGTAAGGGTTGCCTTCGTAGTTCTCTTTATTTGGAATCATTCGTAAAGTGACCCAGAATACACCTGAGGCTGCTTGCAATAAATCTCCCAGTTCTGCAGATAATGGGGAAAAATGCTGGTTTTGCTTATTAAAGCAAGGCGGGGAATTCTACAGCACGAAACTTGTTTCCCCTTTTCCTCCTGTTAGCGACGTCATGAAAAAAGAAGCATCTACAACCTGAATGAAGACAGCGAGCTGACGCACCGCGGCCAGTCTCTGGCCGAGATAGAGAAGCTAAATGACATCGTGGACAGCGACAGCGACGCTGAAGAGGGAGGAGCGCTGTCGGGTGAGGCCTCCATGTGCAGCCACGGCCACGGCCACAGCGGCTGAGGGGCTAGTCCCTCTGATCCAAGCCACACTTCCTTCTTGCTCTCCCAGGTGACCTAGGACACTAGCCTCCAGGGAGAGTTGCTGATAGGTTTGGAAATCCCGTCCCCACCTGTGCAGTCTTTGTGCCTCACCAGTTCAGAGCTGTAAGGAGATACAGATGCCCGTATGGAAAGGGAGGGAGGCGAACCGACTGCAGTGGGCTGAGATCCAGTTTTACTGACTTTCTTTTTTAGCTTTTTATGGGGAATTGGGTGACTGTTTACAGAGCAGATCATCCGTTTTCCACTCATCCATCTCTATTTCACCTGAGTGACCGCAGTCTCCTCCTCCATGTAGCAGCCCTCATCCCGCTTCCTCCCTGTGCCTTCTGTCCTAGCCCTCCTCACCTTTGACCCTGGGGAAATGCTGCGCTGTTGGTTCCCGGTGGTTGGTTACCCTAAGATGTGCTCGTGCCCTTAAAGAGCTGTCTGTTGTGTGTGGCTGGAAATTGAGCCACGGGGGTGACGTCAGGTCCAGACCTGGTGGGTGACTAAGGGCCAGAGTCTAGGGAGAGTCACCGGTTTCAGCCAGTAAGCCTGGTGTTTTATGATTTTGAGTTGTCTTCCACTTGTTCCAGGACCTTGTCATGTGATCCCTTTCAGAGGAGTTACTAATGGTAGGCGTCTTCCATCGAGTTCTGGCCTCAGGGTTTCTTGGTCCATTGGACTCAGTGTTTCTAAGCTTCTTCCGTTTTTATCACTCTTCTGTCCTCTGCGCGGGGAGAGGTCAGTAGTTGTTGCCGCTTAGGTGACTGCTTGTGAGCGTTTAAGATCCCAGGCCCTGCTCACCCAAGCAGAATGTCCAGTGTTATCTCTGGGGACTGTGTTATACCAGTTGATCACGGTGTCCTCATTCCCTCAGGGTGGTTGGAAGCTTTCCTCATTTTGTCCCCTTTGTTCGTGGATATGTTTGCAGCAAAGGCAAACACCCACGGACACATATCCTCTGTCAATCCCGTGTATATACTTGAGGGGTCGTTCCTGTTCTCCCTCCCGTACCTGTTCAGACTGTGTGGCTAGCCATGCACCTGGACAAGTGCAGACCCCATCCGTTATTGCAGGGTGGTGTCTGGAATGGTATTTCTTTGCCTCAGTGGCCTTTACCTCTCTCATTTCTCTGCCTCCCTCCCTCTCGTGCCAACCTTCCTGTGATTGCACCCTGCTCTGTGCTTCACCCAAGTCAGCGCATCTGTCCTCTATCTGGTGCAGCTCTGTAGGGGATACACTGGGCAGCTAGTCACAAGGTCAGTGGCTTAAAGCCCCCAGCCATTCCTCAGAAATCCTCTACAGAGTCTCCATGACAGGCACTTAACACCACCACCCTCTAGCCAATGACTTACCATCCCCTTCCCTCTCACCCCTGGTAATCCACAAAGAATGTTTCTTTCCGTATGAGACTCTCCTCCTGACCTTTTACAATAATGGTCTCTACAACTTTGGACCTTTTATGATTGGCTCATTTGACTCAGCATCCCGCCTCCCAGGTTCATCATGTGTGAGGTAGAGAAATCCTTTTCATATCCACTGTCTTGTTGGAAGATTCCCCGAGTGGTGCAGATGGGTTAATTTGTCCAGCTGCTAACCAAAAGGTTGGAGGTTCAAGTCCACCCTCAGGCACCTCAGAAGAAGGGGCTGACGATGTACTTCCAAAAAAAGACCAGCCATTAAAAATCCTGTGGGAGCTCATGTTTACGTGGGGAGTTCAGCTCTGCTCTGACATGCACACAGGGTCGTCGTGCGTCAGAGCCTGTGTGGCAGCAGCTTGTGCCATTCAGAGCTGATGGTTCCCACAATCTTGTATTTCTCTCCTGCCCTGGAGAGGCGCGCAAACCGAGGGTCATCAGCTCTCGTTGCCCAGTGACCCTGCATGTTTCCAGCTTCTGGTCCTGGCAGAGGGGAGAGACGGGCTCAGAATGCTGTGTCAGCATGGGCCCGGCAGTCGGCTCCCTTCCCAGGCTCGGCCTTCGGCTCAGTTGACTATTATGTTAGCCCAGCTTCCACGAGCATCAAAGCCACTTAACAGAAATAGCCGTTATGTGTGTCCGTAGGTGGTTCTCTGTGAGTGGATTTGAGGCCCATTGCGGGGGTTTTAAGGGCATATTGCCAGGAGGGACCAATCGCTGGAGAAGGATATCATGTTTGGTAAGGTGGAGGGTCAGAGAAAAAGAGGAAGACCCCCAGTGAGATGGATTGGATTGGCAAAGTGGCAGCATCGATGGGCTCAAGCTGGCAACAATTGTGAGGTTGGCCCAGGCCCGGGCAGTGTTTTTGTTCTGTTGTGCATAGGGTCACTATAAGTCAGTACCGACTCGATGGCACCTAACTACAACAACGCCAAGGTCTGCCCAGCGTGTGTGTGGCCATCTGGAGGGATTGCACACTTGTGTCATGGCCGCTCTTGCGACTCAAGACTCTCCTGCTCTCGTCTCCAGCCGAGCTGACTGCTACCCATTTTGGAGGAGGCGCTGGGCTCCTTACCAAGAGTGAGTCTCGGGAAAGTCAGGAGCCAGGCAGAGCGCGGTCACGCAGAGAACTTCTCGAGGAGCTCATTGCAGAGTCCAAGCTACAGAAGGTGGGCTGTCGAGGGTGCTCATCACAGCAGACCCTCCAGTGTACACTGGTGCAGCCGCACTTTCATTACATGGGCTTTGAGGGGGTGGGAGCAGGGAACTTTTCGCTGGGTCTCAGGATTTGTAGAGTGATCATTGTGTTCACCATAAGCAAACTCTTTAGACCACCTGGATGAATAGTCTGTAGCAGGAAGTCACCTGTCCCTGATGGGGGTTTGGTAGTTTTCTTTTAGATACGACTTGCGGGGGTCTCTTTCCTGTGACATGTGTGTGCTGGGGAAGTAGTGACTATGGATGGTAACCGTGTGCGGGGCTATTATTGTTTTTGCAGAGGGAGAGGCAGGCACAACGGGAAAATGCCCTGGAGCTCACGGAGAAGCTGGATCAGGACTGGAAAGAAATCCAGATGGTCTTACCTCATAAAACACCCAAGGCGGACAAGAAAGAGAAGGAAAAGCCCCAGGTGAATGAGCAGCTGAAGCAGCCGGCTGTCTCCTCTCTGTGTCTGTTCAGAGCTTCCGTTCTCCCTTTTCTGCTGTCACCTGAGTCTCCTATTGAGCTTTTAAATCAAGCTAAGCAGCTGAACTCTCGGCTGCTACCCAGAAGGTCGGCGGTTCAACCCCACCAGCCGTTCCTCGGGAGAGAGATGGAGCCGTCTGTTTCCATGGAGACGACAGCCCTCGTCCGGGCCCTGTGAGTCTGAATCGACTCAGTGCCAACGGGACGTAACACGTGACAGGCATTTATGTATTTTTCCTTCTAAACAGTGATTGGTTCCTGGTACTTGTCAGTCTAGGTGGTTTAGAAATGCAGGTGGCTTTCAATCGCTGGTTTCTAGGACAGGCCAGGGTCTCAGCAGGTGACCTTGTCATGCTACTGTTGCATTTGTCCCCTTTCTACTGCTGGCACCTCTCTCTGCCTGAACCTTCCACGGATTTCTTGGTCACAACACTGTGGAGCGGTTTTCTCTCTCAAGGAAAAGACTTTGTTTGGTGTAGCTGGCTTCCTCCGTGACCGTGCCCAACTGGGATGGGCGAGGAATCCAGCTACACAGATCTTTTTGTAGGAAAAACACATTAACAACAACAAATGTCTTCTTCCCACTCAGCCTGATGTGTATGACATGAGGGTTCGCGAGCTTGGTTTTGAGATGAAGGCTCAGCCCTCGGACAGAATGAAAACGGAGGAGGAACTGGCCAGGGAGGAGCAAGAGCGACTCACAAAGCTGGAGGTACGGGACAGGGAGGGCAACGAGCTCAGGGGCGCAGTGGTTAAGTGCTTGGCTGCTAACCCAAAGGTCAGCAGTTCAAACCCCCAGTGGTTCCATGGGAGAAAGCTGTGGCTGTCTGCCTCTGTAGAGGTGGCCGCCTTGGGAACCCCGTGGTGCCAGTGGCTTCTCCCTGTGCTCGGGCACCACCTGAGTTGGAGTCTCCTTATGGCACTGAACACATTTTGGCACAGCCGCAGCCTGTTCTGATTTGTGAAGCGGCCGTGCCGTCTTTCGTTTGTCACGCTTTCTACTTGGCTGAGGAAAATGAGCTGAAGATACAGTGTGTGTTCTCAGTGACATGTCTATTTAAAGTTTACATTTATTCTAAGGTAATGCCTTTGGGTCTCTGATGACATAAGCAAACACGTTAAGTAACATGCAATTAAAACCCAAACGCGGTGGTAGTTGGTTCTGTGCCGGGGAGTCGGTTCCGACTCATAGCGACGCTGTACAGGGTTTCCGAGGCTGTAAATCTTTACAGGAGCAGAAAATAAAACGAGCAGAAAGTAAAAGGAAGGCATCCTTGTGCCTCAAACAGCTGCTAACGATACAGCACTTTGTCTTCGCAGCTCTTTTCTTTGCCTTCAGAAAACATTCTAATTTCATTGAAACAAAATGAAGCAGGGACACGCCGTGGTACAGCTGGCCTTTCCCCTTGCCCAGCCTCGGGCCTCTGCCTGGGTCTCGTTTTTTCCAGCGCGCAGGAACGGCACGGGCAGCTGGCTTCCTTTGGGCCTTAGTGAGTATGGCGTGCTGGGAACGCCACCTAATCAGCCTGTTGGGCCAAAGAGACCTCTGTGCCAGGCGTGGCTGGAAATCATAGTAAAACTGGTGAAAGCCGGGACCTGTGTAAGGCTGACGTCCTGGCAGAGAAGGGAAACTCAAATAGCTTCCACTGAAACAAAGCCACAGAACGTTGTTAGACCCAGAGAACGAGGCTGCCCTGTGGAGTTCTGGCTCTCCCAGGAGTCACTGCGTCTCTTACACAAAGCGAAGTCTGAGCCAGCTTTGTACTGCTCATCACGTGTGCACGCTGGTGGGTTTCTGAGGACAGAAAACACCAGCATCCATGCTCCGTGGCCAGGGTGGGATGGAGGCCACCCTGTGACACCTTCTCTTCGGCTCAGGCTGAGAGACTTCGCAGAATGCTTGGAAAGGCCGAGGATGCAAATATGAAGAAACCAAAACACATGTCGGCCGATGACTTGAATGATGGCTTCATCCTGGACAGAGATGACCGGCGCTTGCTGTCTTACAAAGTAAGAGGTCCACTTCCTTTCCCTTGACTTCAGAGGTTACATTTCCTGATACGCCATTTAAAGGTCTGATCACAGACAGGAGTTAAAAGTTTTTTCCTTTTTAAACGTTCTCTGTAAAGTTCTTTGTCTGGGTGTTTAAGACAGGGCCAACACTCTGACAGCACAGCCTCACACTGTCTCTAAGATGCATGTGGCGTTGCCGTTGCTGTGTTGTTACTGCCGTCAGGTCGGTTTGGACTCACAGTGACCCCGTACAGGAGCAGTTGGTGGTCCAGTGCTGATCCTACAGCATCAGACCCAGAATCCATGTTGACTTGACAAACCTGGGAAGGTCTGTTTGTATCTCCCCCCTTTAGGGTTGTCAGTCAGGGTCCAAGCAGGATAACAGAAGCTGTCTTGGTATTCCAAGCAGAAAGGACCCAAAGCAGGAAACTGAAACATGGTGTTATTGGAAGAGCAGGAGTTGGGGTCAATCCTGGGAGTTTAGGTCCCTCCTCCTGAGAGCACTTCCTAAATCCCAGGAAGCATCCCTGGGTGCTGAAGCCCCAGTCAAGCCCCACCTTCCACACCCTGCACCTGCCCATCTCCTGGGAGGCACTTCGCGGACGGGTGGCTCGTGTCTCAGGAAGCAGGGATGAGTCGCAGCCTCAGGCCCAGCCTGCTCTCCTCCTGTGTCGTATGGAATCACGAACGCACTCACTCTTCTAGGACGGAAAGATGAACGTAGAGGAGGCCAGCCATGCAGAGGGGAGCAGGGAGGCCAGTGGCAGTCAGAGTGCTGGGGAGGAGGAGGAGGAGGAGGAAGAGGAAGAAGATGACTCGGGTGGAGAAGACGCCGAGCAGAGCGATGGTGCAGACAGCCACGCAGACCTGGACTCCAATGCGGAGAGCGAGGAAGACCCTGCAGGCCCAGAAACGGGGTCACTGCTGACCCCTGCAGAGAGACACCTGGGCCGGCACTGGCGTGCCCAGGCCGCTGTCCGAGCCGAGCTGCCCTACACATTTGCAGGTAGGTGGCCGTCTCCAGGGCCATGGGCCTTAGTGGAAGCATGGATTGTGTCCATCTGCCTAGTGCACCTATGGGTGAAGAGATGGGGGGTGGCGGGGAGGGCTCGAAGGCCAGGCAGGGTTGATAGGGTTTATTGTGCGGCCGCACTCAGGCCAAGGAGAAGTTCTTTGCAGATGAGTTTGAATGATGATTTCATTCATGGGTTGTGGCATGCAGGCAGGTTGTCCACCTGCCCTGGCACTGCTATCAGCCAGCTGACTCCTCGTACTGAACACAGTACGCTGCTTGTCATCCCGCTCTAGTAAGCCTGTGTGCGTTTGCAGAGAGGATGAGCCATGGGGGAGGTGGCCTCTGTAAGTGACCAGCAATGGGTGAGTCTCTCTGAGGCCAAGATGCAACCCAGCCTGGATGTTAAGCCAGCACTGGCCCGCCATTCCAGTCAAGGGAAGAGTGGTGGCACTCGGGAGCCCAGTTCTGTCACGTGGCCGGAGCCAGCGGGAGCCCACCTGAGCACAGCGGATGTTGACGGAAACTCTGCCCCTACTTACCCTTACGCTGTTGAATTGATAGGCTTTTAGTTTTCCCATCTTCGTTGTTGGAAATGTGACTGAGTCTCGTGGGCCACTGAATGGCGAATGTGTTGTGTGTTTTGTAGCTCCCGAGTCCTACGAGGCACTGAGGTCACTGTTGTTAGGGAGACCGATGGATGAGCAGCTGCTGGTGATGGAGCGGATTCAGAAGTGCAACCACCCGAGTCTGGCAGCAGGAAACAAAGCCAAGTTAGAGGTAAGCGGCGATGTGTGTTGTGAAATACCCGGGGTCCCCGTAAGATAACGTGAGCAGTAGAGAATACCCGGGGTCCCCGTGACGTAACGTGAGCAGAAGAGAATACCCGGGGTCCCCGTGAGATAACGTGAGCAGTAGAGATTACCCGGGGTCCCCGTGAGATAACGTGAGCAGTAGAGAATACCCGGGGTCCCCGTGAC